GACCTCCCAGTACACAGACCATAGAGTGTCACCTGCTTTGGTTGCTAACGCAAACTGCCCTCCCAAATCTGTCCGAGGCTCCCCATCGCTATTCTCACCTGCTCTTCCAGCATCTCTGCCGTCTGGAAGCCACTGTGCTTCTAACGCATTGGCAGTAGGCGTTCTGTCCCACTGCACATAACTATGAGCATTAAATTGTTCAGCCAGCCCAGCACTCTTGTTGACTGAAGGCTGCTGGGTCCTTTGTCATCATGACATAGCTGCAGACACTCAGCACCTTGTACAACATCACCTGTGCACTAAGGACACACTCTGAAGTCAACAGGAGCTTTGCCATTGACTTACTAAGGAAAAGTGTTATATATAAGCTAGGTATTAGTCCAAAGACTCTGCAATCAACAGATCCGTGCATGGGTATACATAGGACACATGCATTGTAAAAAGACTTAACTTTAAGGTAAGTCAGCTAACCTCTGCTGGGTAGTTCTTGAGCATTAAATCTCTCTCTCAATCCAGTCTGCGGGTGATACCTGTAGTTGTAACACCAATCTTTGTTCAAATGGGCAATGGAAAACATGACATGTATATGGTTTGTAGTTTCAATGGAAAACTACTTAAGATATCTATGTCTGCTAGGTGAGCTGTCCCATGAACTGTAGCATACCAGACACTAGTGTAAACAAAGAGGCCTCACCTGGGTTGCAAACAGGATTTAATTTGTCCTTAGAAAGTGGATACACAAGCCATTTGTCGTCAACTAGCGTCTTTGTGTATGTCAATGAGGCCTCAGCCTGTTTATATTCTGCTCCCCAGACCACTTTTGTCTGAGCCTGGACAGATTTTGCCAGAAAGCCTCTCCCCTCCTCTCCAGGCAGTTCAAGATGTGGGGTATGTTTTCATGGAGGGGCATGGGGAGAAGATGAATAGCTCTTCACTCCTTTATTGGCAGTAAGGTGGAACGCTGTCCCACAATACTGTTGTCTGAGGGACAAAAAATGTCCTGTAGAAGAAGCAGCTCCTGGATCTTCACAGCAGTGCAAGGGAACTAGCCATAGACCTTCCATTCACTTTGGTGTTGGCTAAATCTCTTGCACAGCTTTGAAAAGTTCAACCCAGGTCTCCCGAGGGTTGAGTGTTAGACGGCACAGATATGGCTCTGCTACCCCACTGTGTACCTCGCCTCCTTCAGATCATGTCCATGCTCACTTTACCAACCTCCTAATTATTTATAAATAATGCAGCCCAAATCCAGACTACAGCAGCTTGGTGATTTGACCAGCTGTTTTAACCATAGGCCTCATTCTGAATGCAAGGGATAAATTAAATGCAAGTTGATGCATTTGTTGGCAATTTAAAGTTTGCCACATCCAATTAATGTACCTCTTTGATTTATCTAAAATAATGAACCATTGTTTTCAACTGTAATTTTTTCCAATCACTGGGTAGCCCAGGGAACTGTTCTGGAAAGCATAGAACTGCGGGAAGGATCAACGCACTGTAGCAAGCCTGACAGGAAAAGGACTTTGGGATTCGGTTATGTGCTAAAGCTAGAGGAAGAGAGACAATAAAACGGGAGAAGAATATCCAGGAGAGCTGAACTTTTGTTAGCTTTAGCAGGGCACGTTTTTCATTATTTTTACAGACACACATGAATTTTAAACCACACTGCAAAAAAAGTTCAAGTAGCTTTTCATCAAGTAGCATTTTAACCATCTATTTTCAAAGGACCTGTCGCTGCAAAACAAATCACACTACTCTGAAACTTATAAGTAGCAGTGAATCCACTAGAAGACCACTAAGGGCAAGTCTACCCTACCGCTTATGTCGAGCTAACTTAAATTACTCGGGTGTGAAAAAGACACCCCTTCCCCCTGCCCCAAGTGACAAAAGTTACAGTGACCACACCGGTACTATGTGCAGCTGCGCCGATGTAGCATTTCTAGTGTAGACCTGCCCTAAGTTGGCTGAACAGACAGAATAAGGTTGAGTAGTGCCCACACCAGGTCCTTCCTAGAGCAGCTCTGCACTACCAGCTTCGTGGGCCAGTACCTATCAGGTACCACTGGCCCATCACACAATGATTATTTCTGTTCCAACAGTGTTTAGAGACTACATCTGAGTTTGGAGCAATGTTGTACTAGAAGCTGCACAAACACACAGTAAGGGCCCTGCCCTGAAGAGTTTACAGTTTAAATAGACAAGACTGAAAAGGGTGTGAGAGGAAATAGTCTTATCCCCATTTTACAGAGATGACCATTCAAAGCATCTGTTGCTGAAAAAAAAAAAAAGAAAAACAACAACAAAACACCACTTGTAAATGGCAGCAAACCCTTCAGGAGACCTAACCATGCTGCAGATTTTGGCAGGGTTCCTCAAATTGAAGATGCAAGAGTCACTTAGCGAATTACTCTTATCAACTGCCGGTAATTGAATTAACTCACTGGTCAGGTATCATAGATTCACACGTTTTCCCTCAGCAGCCAAGGAGCTGCAAGAATTATAATAAACGGCAATGCAGCAGCAAGCAAATGTCTGTGTGGTTCACGTCTTGTTGAGGTGAGACAGAGAACTTCTCTCATGTGGAATTTGTGGCACAAGGGAACTATAGAAGTATCTGTTCCAGACCAGAACTCAACTTTGTTTGGGACTTCCCTATATGCCCCATCCCGGATTCCATTGCCAAGTTTCCCAGGCAAGCAGTTGGGAGAAGCAACTGTATTGGTTTTAAAAGACCCATTCCAGCTTACTGATATGGACTTTGAAACGTCTGAGAAATTAATACTGTCCTGAAAAACATCCAGAGTTCTGCACAAGAAACAGTGCATGTTGGGGCAGGACTTTTGAATGTGACTAATTACTTCAAGATAGACAGCGAGCCAGATGGGATCCAAAGCAAACAGATACTATGGTAATGGGCACAGTATAAAAACCTAAGTAGATCTTTATGGGGCTAGATAGTTTCACTGATACTGAATAGAACAGGGTGATTTTTTTTTTAATTGTAAATATTTGCAAAGTTGTTTTCATTTTGCAGGCTTTACTTTTTCAAAAAATGTCCTGCTTATTATTATTGTAATCTAAATTATTATCAAAATGTTCTGTTTGCTGCATACCAGGCTTTCAATAAATGAACATTTAAAATTATGGTGTCAATAAAAGTTTTGATTACAAATGTCACAAAAACAAAACACAAATTTGAAAAAAAAAATCAGCAGTTTTTCATTCAATTTTCTTTTGAGACACAAAAACGTGTAATTGGGGAAATTTTGAGCACCCTTAATGCCGACGCACTGTAATTCCAAGTTCCCATGGCCCTGGGACATAGCACTCAAAGTTAATGTGCGGGCTGTATCTAAACCAGGGTGGGCAAACTTTTTGGCCTGAGGGCCACATCGGGGTTCCGAAACTGTATGGAGGGCCAGGTAGGGAAGGCTGTGCCTCCCCAAACAGCCTGGCCCCCCGCCCCCTCCCCTTCCCTCTCCCCCTCCCACTTCTCGCCCCCGACTGTCCCCCTCAGAGCCCCCCTACTCATCCAACCTCCCCTGCTCCTTGTCCCCTGACCGCCCCCTCCTGGGACCCCCTCTCCCCTAACTGCCCCCCCCAGGATCCCACCACCTATCCAACCCCCCCTGCTTCCTTTCCCCTGACTGCCTTGACCCCTATCCACACCCCCGCCCCCGGATAGGCCCCCCAGGACTCCCACGCCTATCCAACCACCCCCTGCCTCTTGTCCCCGACTGCCCCCTGGGACCCTCTGCCCCTTATCCAACCCCCCCTCCCCCACTCCCTGCCCTCTTACCATGCCACTCAGAGCACCAGGACTGGCAGCCATAAGTAGTACACTGTAATTAGCACATTCCTACGGGGAACAATTTAATACACTACACCAGTGGCTCTGGCTGCCTCGCTTCCAGCAGGAGCTCACAGCCCCGCCACCCAGAGGCTGGTGGCGCGGCGAACTGAGGCTGCAGGGGAGGGGGGATAGCAGAGGAGGGTCCAGGGGCTAGCCTCCCTGGCCGGGAGCTCAAGGGCTGGGCAGGACGGTCCCACGGGCCGGATGCGGCCCGCGGGCCATAGTTTTCCCACCTCCGATCTGAACGCTGGCTGTCAAATTCAGAGGGTGCAATGTCTAGTGGTTACATACAGCAATGGGGTTCAGCAGTTCTGGGTTCTGCCACTGATTTGCTGGTGACAGACCATAAACAGACTGTATAGGTTTCGTTCATTGGATGTGGATAAGTGTTAGAAGAGTGTAGCATATTATGCACTCTTATGAGATGTGCAACATGACTCAAGAAAGGAAAGCGAGTTAGAGAGACTCGAATAGCTTATGGGGAAGTGATTGTGTATTCAGTAAAGCAATCAACAAGCAGGGGTTGAAATATCTGCTGCACTGATGCGCTGCTATTCTCTCCAGACCAAGCGTGTCTAGGCACATCGTATGCCCTATTTTCTCTGCTCTGCCCATCGTTCAGGCTACTCACAGCTGGATGGGATATTTCTTAGGCAGGAGAGGGGGAAAAGAGGTTTAAAATGCCCTCCTTTCTTTTGCCTCCTGTGAAGGGGCAGGGCCGGGGCCTGGTTGTCGGTTGCAGTTTGGCCTTTTTAGCTTCTGCAAAAGATCACGCTACGTAGCAGATTCTCAGCTGGCGTAACTCAGCACAGATCTGTCTTCGAGGGAGCAGTGCCAATGGATATCCCATATATTTTGAGCTCTGTTAGAACCATTGCTGGATGCGTGGCAGACTGTGCCCTCCCTGCTGTGCTCGGTTCACTCCCGTCGCAGCAGCCAGCCGCCTTCCTGGTACATGTGGAGCACTGTGCTTCCTGGAACTGCCTCCACCTAATCCCACCGGTCTGTCTCCGCCATACAGTCAGGCTTCAGCAGTGCACTGCAGGACGTTCCCATGAAGCTTTTCACATTCCTTGCCTGTTCTCAGCTGATGTCATCAGGGGAGGAGAAAGGCCCATGGAAGAGAGAAAAGGTTTTCCCGCAGAAAAAGAGGATTCTTGCAGGCTGCCCATCTCAGTTTATTATTGCCGGGCACCTGTGTCCCGGGGCATGGGTCCAAGCAAGTTGTGAGCAGGCATGATGCCATCACAACAGATGGGCATGAGCATAGGCAGTCATGAGACCATGATCCTGCATCAGCTTGGGGCATTGACTGTTTAGGGCAAATTTCCCAGCTGAGAATGTCAAAACAGCTGCCAGTCTGGAGTTTATACACCTATAATTAAGGGGCTATGTGATTTCTAATCCAGCTGGATTAATTGGCAAGCTAAATATAGCATCCAGGACCATGTAAGGCAAGTTTTTGTGTGTGGTTTAAATCAGGAAATAGGGCTAAGGCTGGCATGAGCAGGCACTGAAGAATAACGCCTCCAGCTCTGGTCTCAAGCTCTGCAGTCATTGCAGGCCTGAGCCCGCTGAGGACCCTTTATTCCCATTCATTTGTAACAATTTCACAATGGCACATAGAGGCTTTAACCAAGAGCTAAACCACATTGTCCTAGACGTGGATCAAACACATAGCAGGAGATAGACCCTGTCCCAAAGCCCTTACAGTGTAAATAGACAAGACAGAAGAAGGTTGGGAGGAAGGGAGCATTCTCACGCCAATCAGCACTGGAAGGATTAAGGGATGAAGTCTGATATCACACAAGAAGTCTGTGGCAGAGACTGGAATTGAACCTAGATCTTCTGCGGGGAGCTGGTTGGATTCATCAGGAAGGTTTCTCAGAGACACCCTCTGCCAACCCCCTTATGGCCCATTACCCAGGGAGGAGGGGTTAAGGCACATCGCTGGGATGTGGGAGACTCTGGATTAAATTTCCACTTTGATTGATTAGGAGCAGGAACTGGAACCTGGGTTTCCCAAATCCCCGGTGAGTGCCCTAACCACCCAGCTTGCTGACTAGCCTGGCATTGAGTGTCACATTTTCATGAAAAATGTTGAAAGGTCTCATTTTCCTTCCACCTCAGAATGAACACTAATTTCAAAAACTCAGTATATTTCATGCAGTGGCATTATTGTCTTTCAGTCTGCCCATTTCTGAGTTGCAGTCCCCAAGCTTAGCCAGAAGACCATCCCTCCTCTCGGGTGAAAGCTAAGCCTTGCAGGAGCAAGTCCTCTGGAAGGTAAAATAGTTCCTTGGATCTTGTAAGCTAAGGGGCAAACTGTGCTCTTAGCTTACATGTGCAATCCCACTGTTGTCACACTAGGTTCATGTGCATAACTGAACAGAATCAGACCCAAATGTCTTTCTTTCCAGTGCAACTTTCTGGGCCTTAAACTCGAGTGGTATTATGATAAGGACCACCCTCTTTTTTTTAGCCTTTCAAGGTGTCCATAGAAATATGCTTTGGGAGGCTTTGATGGTGGCAGAACCAGTGGGGTGAAAAAATAAGAAAACTTTCTTCTCCCCAAACTTCACCTGCTCTCCAAAAGATCCCGACCTTTTAGTAAAGCTTCTGAATTATGATTTTTGTGGTACTTTCTTTACATTTGCTGCTGCCTTTAAGCTTCTGGTAACTTGCAGGTAAGGTGGGAACTTCAGCAATAGCATGAGAAAAGGTTCTTCTCAGGATATTCTCAACCAGGAACAAAAACAGAAGTGACAGTAGGTTCTTGTAAGATTCCTAGCCTCTAACACCCTTGTGCATTCACTTATATCAGTGAAAGCAAGAGTGAAAGAATCCCATTCTCATAGGGTAGCATTTTATCTTTGCACAGGTGTGAATGACTGCACAAATTACAAGCACAGAATCAAGCTCTGAGGTTGCTCTAAAACTTATTTACAGAGATGTAATTGCCCATGCAAATTCCAGAATGCCCTTACCTATTCCATGCAGCCACCTACTGGTCTGGGAACACAAGGCCCTACCTGTCCCTGTATAAAGAAAGTCAGAATTAGGCCCATAGCACTGGGCTAATTGAGTCACTCCCAGTCTTTGAATACCAGTCTATCCCAAGCCAGATTAATACCACACTGTGAATATCTGCAAGGTTAAATCGCTTTTAATTTTTGTTTAATTATCTGCAATGGCACAAATAACAAACAGCATTGATTTGAACTTGGCACTGACGGCAGGTTCCAAATGGCAAAGCATATTAAGAGATCGAACTATTAAACGTAGCTAATGAGCAAAATAATTATGTAGCGCTAAGCCATAAAAGGTTAGGCTTTAAAGTTGTCACAGTTCATAAGCAAGAAAGATTTAATCACATTTTAAATCAAATATTTATATGATAATGTGTTTTAATCAAAATAGTAGCAAGTAATTTGGGAGGGGGATATAGTGTATGCTTCCTGTCTTTGCTTTCCAGAGGGTGGTTTTTTGTTTGTTTTGCGGGGGAGGGGGTTGGCAGAGTTCACACTTTCTCACTGAATGATCTATTGGTCCCAGTTGTAAGCTCATAAAGCAGTGTGTAACCTGGGATAGACTAGTACAGCAATAAATTACAGTACAGTACAGACACCGTAAGTCTGATTCTTCACTGCCAAACACCCAGTATCATCACTGACACCCCTGTAAAGCGGGTATGCTATCATTCGGATTTGGTGGCGTTTTATACCCAATTTGTGCGGTGTAAATGATGGCACGAGGTGCAGGGCACTGCAGAATATAGAATATGGAGCGTTCCTGCTGTGTTGCCATTCCAGGAGCTACCATCACTGGAAACAGGTACCCTGTACTTCCAAGGCAAACACTGCAGTGTCCAGTACTCAGCCTTTCCAATCACCTGTCATTCCTGGAACCACACTGCTTCTAGGAAATCTATCAAAAAATATCATGACAGTTTCAAAATACTTGCCCTGCCTCTGGGCACACATCTCCACATTTAGACTATCCAATATGTTTTTCCCTTAATCTATTTAGCATCTTGTGCTAGACGTGTACATAATTTTTGCCATCTGCCATTTTAAACACTTCATCAGTGAGTGTTATTTTTTTCGTTAAATGCTAAATTGGAGTCACGATGAAAAGCGTTCAACTAACCACCTTTGCCTGGAATGAATTCTTTTGCTTTCAGTTTTGCCAGATGTTTCCTAATTACTTATCTGTCAAGGATTTTTCTTTTCTTTCCATGTAAAGACATTTCCTCTAAATGAAAAGTAGCATAAGGGTCTTGTTGAGTATGTTTGGCCTGGGTGAAACAGGCTGGGCTCCACTTCATCATCAAGGCTGGATTTTATGCTTGAAGATGCAACTTAACACCAAAACCCATGATATTTTTTATTATTCAGCACAGCCCTTTTGGATCAACTTTGACAAAAGCCAAATGGTACTTTATGGCTTGAGATTTATTATTTAAAGCTAGAACTCAGTCATGCAGTTTCTCCTGAGCCTAAGATCAATTCATGTGATGATTTAGGGCCAAAATCTGCCTCCATTACTCACATCAGATAGGACTTATTTACATGACTAATCCCCCATTGAATGAGTGCCACACAGCATCAGTAAGGGTTTCAAACTCAGGCCCGTATTAAGCTTGATATTTGTCCCAATGGCCAAAAAATTCTCATTGACTTAAATAGGTCAATTATTGGGTTTTCTGAAGGATCTCCTGCCCTTTACTCACATGGCAATTCCTTAAGCCATAGAAGGAATAATTTAAGCCTTTAATCATTGGAATTGACCCCTGTGGAGTTAGGTATAAACGTGTAGTGCTACTATTCAGGGTGGCCATTGGGGGGCACATAGTGAGGAGATAAGGGTCTGTGTAACAGGAGATAACCCTGAACATGATGTCCCAGGTCTCTAATCTCTACAACCACTCCTGAAGTGGAATACCAGACATCACGGGACAACGATCTGACTTTGGTATAGTGAGGCATATGCCGACACTTAGATCACTTCTGACATTTGGCATTGATTTGCTATTTAGCTATGATCAGAGAGCTTTCTCTCTCTTTCTTTTTTCGGTCTGTTTTTTCCAGTGTCCCTAATTTTAGAGCTACCTCCACACAGGAAAACAGAACGATCACATTGCAGTCAAAGTAAGCTTGACATGCATCTCAGCTGCTTTGACTGGGGGTGGAGGTGGGATCTGTCAGTTGCTTGTCATCCACTGACTACAAATACAGTATGCTCTTGGCTTTACACGCACAAATCCTGACACCAATCCTCTTGAGTTTGTTGTTATATTTTGAAAGGAACACAGAGGTAGTTCTGATGCCATCTTGAGTCACTTTGGCTGAATGGATATTACAATTGCACATGCAAATTGATGTTGCTGGTTCCATTCACCCCTGAGTTAAGCAACTTGAAATAGTAATTATTAGGTGGAGTGCTATACATCTAGGTCTTTTCAGACATGGAGTTAAAAGGACATATTCAACACTGTGACTCCATTGATTTGCAGAGAGTACCTATCAATATTTTTATTCATTCGTTAAATTTTTCATGCTCTACTGAAGTGGTTTTGATTTAGTTTACTACTTAGTTATGGAGGTAAATTAACTCTGGGGTCATACATTTTTCACTGACTAGTCCTGCCTTGCCTTGAAAACAAGGTGCAGATTGATCAATGTCTGACTGAACAGGAAATGCAGCAGTGACATTAAAAGGTGGTCAAGAAATCCCACTGGCTCAATGCTCCAACGGGACCCTTCACGTCACCCTGGCAGCACGAAGGCTGGTGGATTTGGCAGAGGGGAATGACACCATCTCCTTTCACAGCACTTGGTGGAGAGGGTGTGTTGGAGACATGGCCAAGAGAAGGCAGAATGCCACTGCTGGAATGGCCCCTGAGGGCTCTAGGTAGCCCAAATGTAAGAGCACTCCTGATGTTGTACCATACATTGGAGCTGGGTCCGGAATACAGGGGAAGGAAACCCATTTATCTCCCTCTCCACTTTCTCCCTCAGCTTCTGGGGAGCTCAGGCAGATTGGACAATTGGGCCCCATATTTGTAAATAGACATGATCCCCGTTCCAGGATTCAAACCAGCTACTTTAGCTCACCTGGTGTGTTGATTTGTAGGGATTTGCGTGAACTTTGTTTTTGGTTTCTGGTCTTTGAGCTCCAGAGCTGAGCAAGTACATCAACCCATAGCGTAGCTATCAAGGGCTACTGTGCGGTGGATGGGTCAATACCTTCCTGACATGTAGAGTGATCAGCTTACACTCTGCAGCAGGGAATCCATTTACCTTCAATTTGTCTCTGTGACTACAAATAAAATCATTCATCCCTTTTAAAAACCCAGCTGCAGCATTAATTTAATTTGTCATATTTATACAATGTGCCCATCACTTGCTTTCTTGTCACATAAACAATCTAAACATTGACAAAAACACTGACAATAATTATCTAAATTAGCATAATGTTGAGAGAGAGAGAGAGAAACCAAAATAATCCCTCTGGGAAAGACCTGCATGAAGACACAGGCCTAGGAAGTACCTGGGAAGTCAACATAGTGTGGAACCGTTGAGCTGAAAGGAAAGAAAATTCCAGAGTCCCTCATTCTCCTCTAACGATTCCTTACTTCTGGAGCCCAGCTGTATAATACCCTGTCCATACTACAATGTTTAGAACAGTTTGTAACCAGCTACGGGCATGGTAATGTCCAAGAACCACGTGATTAGTATTAGCAACCCCAAGCATTCAAATATTATGAATTAAGCCCCAAAATCATGAGAGCAGTTTAAAAATCATGAGATTTTAAAAATCTGCACCTTTTGGGGTTCTTTTTATTCGACTTTTTGGTTTCTGAGCCTGGCGATCATGCTTTGTTCACATTTTCAGCCTTTTTTTTCCTTTTAAAAACAAGAAGAGAGGTTCTGAGTTGTAGGAGCTGGGGCTTTAAGAAAGTCAGTGAACATTGCGAGACTTATGACAACTTAATGAGAGCTGGAAACACTGAATTCTGTTAGTAACAGACACCTGTTAACTTTTGGTAACCAGGCTTAGCTCAGCTGTTCTTGCAGTACACACAAGACCCCCTAAATGTGTCTGTATAGCTGGTTTGAACAGGCCTCCCCTTTCCCAGCTCTGAGGTAGGAATCCCAGTATCCACTGTCCCAAGTACAATTGTCTACTAGGGTGGAGTAGTCTCTTTGGAGTGGCTCAGCTTTGGCTCCACAACCTTGGTTCCCACTTTGGGCTGGATCCTAGAAGAGGTTCAGAATCTTAAACTGACAAGAACAATATGCTTTGCATTCTTCCTTCTCACCCCTGCACCTCACTCATTAGCTCATCTCCTTCTCCAAAGAGGCAGAATTTGAAAGCTCTCTCCACCAAATTGAGTGATAGCTCATGCTGGGCTATCACGTCCAGTTAGCAGCTTGCCTTGGAGCCTACCAGCAGAAGGATGGTGCAAACTAGTTGTAAGCAACTGAGTTTTATAGCAGCTGCATTTGAAATTTGTCACTTGCCACAGCACAAGATTTCCAAGTCCTGGATGGATTCAAGGTTTACGGTGGTGCTAGGGCTCTGAAAGTTCACAGGGAGCATAAAATTGATTCACTCCGTTACTTTTCTTTCTCTGGCAGAAGAACTCCCTAAGGAAAGATATAGGGATCCTGTTTGCTTTTCAACATTTTGAGTAGGCAGAGAACAGTGTGTCCTGTTCCATTTATTGTCTGTAAATCACAGAAAATATCTTCCTTCTCCATGGCAAAAATAGTTAGAATTAGCAAGTTTCTTTACCTCTTCCTGCTCACATTTGTGAATTTCTGCAAGGGCCTCATAAGCAAGATCTTTGCTTTCCCCACATATCAATTATATGTCTTCATCTCCTTCACCCCTCTCAGTATCTGCAGTTTCTTCTACATTCAGGTAGTTGTTGTTCCCAATGATTACATCTTGCAGCTTTTCACAAAGGATGGAAATGTCACTTGACTGATCCATGCTGTTATCATCACAGGATGTCCATTTGCTTTGCTCCGAAATCAAGTTGGAATCTAGTGGAATTATTAAGCAAGAGGAAAAGTGAGAGAGCATTTAAGTGACTGGAGCAGAGCAGAGCTGTGCGCCAGCTGCCCTGCATGCTATAAATGCAACTGAATTGTGCAATCCTTATGTTAAAATTAATTAATTAATTAATTAACATTGTGGTTACTGACACTGGTAGCTACCGTTTGCTTCTATCTCTGTATATTTCATTTACAATTTAAAGAACACACATGATAAACGATTAAGTTACAAAAATAAGAAATACGGGTGTGAAAAAGTACAGCATGCTGCAAAAGAGGAATCAAGGTGCTTGCAAAGTAATTACAGTTTAGCATGATGGGGGAAGTACCATAATAAATAAAATCAACCCTTGGGTTGAATTCTCCAGTCCGCTAAGGCCACTATGCACTGCATGGTGGAAATCACAGCCACTCCCACCCCCTTGCTGGCTCCCTGGAGGGGACGTGTCACAGGTAGCAAAGAGCTTTGTTACTCCTTATTCGCCACTGGTGTAAGATCAGGAAAGTGTTTCTCTTGAGCAAGCCCTAGGTAAAGAGGGTAAGGGCAGAATTTCTGTGAGGGGTGAATTGTTGCATAGAAAAGTCCCTGGGGAAAGGAATCCTCATGGTAGTCTTTGCAAGCAGTTTACTGCAACTGAAGGGTGTGAAAGCGATTTAATCAAGAAAGTTTCAGTTCCTAACAGCCAGAACTTTTCTGTTGTGAATGAAGCCACTGACTTTCCTGTTGAAAGATCCAGTGTGGATAGCTTTGAGAAGGTCTCAGATGAATCATAGAATCATAGAATATCAGGGTTGGAAGGGACCTGAGGAGGTCATCTAGTCCAACCCCCTGCTCAAAGCAGGACCCATCCCCAATTAAATCATCCCAGCCAGGGCTTTGTCAAGCCTGACCTTAAAAACTTCTAAGGAAGGAGATTCTACCACCTCCCTAGGTAACGCATTCCAGTGTTTCACCACCCTCCTAGTGAAAAAGTTTTTCCTAATATCCAACCTAAACCTCCCCCACTGCAACTTGAGACCATTACTCCTTGTCCTGTCCTCTTCTACCACTGAGAATAGTCTAGAACCATCCTCTCTGGAACCACCTCTCAGGTAGTTGAAAGCAGCTATCAAATCCCCCCTCATTCTTCTCTTCTGCAGACTAAACAATCCCAGTTCCCTCAGCCTCTCCTCATAAGTCATGTGTTCCAGACCCCTAATCATTTTTGTTGCCCTTCGCTGGACTCTCTCCAATTTATCCACATCCTTCTTGTAGTGTGGGGCCCAAAACTGGACACAGTACTCCAGATAAGGCCTCACCAATGTCGAATAGAGGGGGACGATCACGTCCCTTGATCTGCTCGCTATGCCCCTACTTATACATCCCAAAATGCCATTGGCCTTCTTGGCAACAAGGGCACACTGCTGACTCATATCCAGCTTCTCGTCCACTGTCATCCCTAGGTCCTTTTCCGCAGAACTGCTGCCTAGCCATTCGGTCCCTAGTCTGTAGCTGTGCATTGGGTTCTTCCATCCTAAGTGCAGGACCCTGCACTTATCCTTATTGAACCTCATCAGATTTCTTTTGGCCTAATACTCCAATTTGTCTAGGTCCCTCTGTATCCTATCCCTGCCCTCCAGTGTATCTACCACTCCTCCCAGTTTAGTATCATCCGCAAATTTGCTGAGAGTGCAATCCACACCATCCTCCAGATCATTTATGAAGATATTGAACAAAACCGGTCCCAGGACCGACCCCTGGGGCACTCCACTTGACACCGGCTGCCAACTAGACATGGAGCCATTGATCACTACCCGTTGAGCCCGACAATCTAGCCAGCTTTCTACCCACCTTATAGTGCATTCATCCAGCCCATACTTCCTTAACTTGCTGACAAGAATACTGTGGGAGACCGTGTCAAAAGCTTTGCTAAAGTCAAGAAACAATACATCCACTGCTTTCCCTTCATCCACAGAACCAGTAATCTCACCATAGAAGGCGATTAGATTAGTTAGGCATGACCTTCCCTTGGTGAATCCATGCTGATTGTTCCTGATCACTTTCCTCTCATGTAAGTGCTTCAGGATTGATTCTTTGAGGACCTGCTCCATGATTTTTCCGGGGACTGAGGTGAGGCTGACTGGCCTGTAGTTCCCAGGATCCTCCTTCTTCCCTTTTTTAAAGATTGGCACTACATTAGCCTTTTTCCAGTCATCCGGGACTTCCCCCGTTCGCCACGAGTTTTCAAAGATAATGGCCAATGGCTCTGCAATCACAGCTGCCAATTCCTTTAGCACTCTCGGATGCAACTCGTCCGGCCCCATGGACTTGTGCACGTCCAGCTTTTCTAAATAATCCCTAACCACCTCTTTCTCCACAGAGGGCTGGCCATCTATTCCCCATGTTGTGATGCCCAGCGCAGTAGTCTGGGAGCTGACCATTTTAGTGAAGACAGAGGCAAAAAAAGCATTGAGTACATTAGCTTTTTCCACATCCTCTGTCACTAGGTTGCCTCCCTCATTCATTAAGGGGCCCATACTTTCCTTGGCTTTCTTCTTGTTGCCAACATACCTGAAGAAACCCTTCAGGTAGTGAAGTGAAAGCTGTTAAGAAAGTTAAACAGTCCTATAACCAAGTGGCTGTGTTTGGCCAGCTTGTTGGGGAGACAAGGTTGTTGAGAAAGGAATGTCTTCATGCTAGTTCTTTAAGTGAACAGTATGTGGCCCAGGTCAAGATGGGGACTCTTAACCAAGAGAGCCCGAATTGCAGCCCTCCAGACTAGAGCACTGGGAGAAGACCTGATCCCAGTTTGACCCCCGGGGGTTTTGGGGTGGCAAAAGGGCACGGGCCGCATAAACCTTCCCACATGCGAGTGCTGTTGACCACCCCCGACCTAAGGGAGGGCATGAAACTGGAAGGGCCTGGTGTAACTCCCACCAATGAATGGAAGAGATGCTGGGGCATCCATGGGAACGTTGGTAGCTTCGAACTTCCCCAGGTCACCGGCTAAAGTGACCCCGTTCAGTTCGGTCTCAAAGGGGGGAGAGATGTGATGAAGTGGGACTGTTCTTAATGTTTCCTCTGAATATTGTGGGGGTGCCTCAAAGTGATGTAAATTAGGGCTCCTCCTGTGCATAGTACCAATTTACCCCAGCATTAGGAAGGATGCGAGGATCTGGCCCAAATTGGGGGGGAAGGACCCACTGATAGTGATGCTTCTAGAATCTGATCCAAAGCCCATTGAAGCCAATGGAAAGATTTCGATTGACCTAAAGAGGCTTTGGATCAGGCCCATAGTGCACAATGTTCAGAACTGGCCACCTGTCCAAATTTGGCAAGTATGACCTAGATGTCAGTAGTCTTCAAATGTCTGGCACACACCATGGAGCCAGCTCATACACATCAGGCACAGTTTACATGCAAAAGAAGCCTACAAGCGTCAATACGCCGTTTGCCATCTTGACCTGAAACATCTTCTTCCTCATTTGTCTCCTCATCTGCGAGGCTGGCAGAACCACACTGCTCATGAACACTCATTTGGTTGCTGTTTCCGATCATGACGTTCTCCATCTGAGACTTGTTGATGCTGACTCTTTGAAATGGAGCTCTCCTTTCCCCGGGGCGGGAGGTGCTAATTTTCAGTGACAGTCCAGAGCTGGCAGAAAGAATGTCACCAAATGGATCTAGAGTTAAAAAAAAAGGGGGGGGGGCATTTGTCATAAAAAGGAGAGCATAAGAAATCAGAAAGACGGAATCAGTGAATGTCGAAAAGGTGACATACTCATTTCCCAGGGCTCGGGTGGGACTAAGATTTGCATTATAGTAGCAGAAATCTCAGCATTTCAGCACGTTAGTTTGTTGCACAGAAATGAATGGATACAGATAGGAGGGTACCTAGTATAACTCTAAAAAGTTCTAGGCACTTGTGCAGCATAGAATCATAGAATCATAGAATATCAGGGTTGGAAGGGACCCCAGAAGGTCATCTAGTCCAACCCCCTGCTCGAAGCAGGACCAATTCCCAGTTAAATCATCCCAGCCAGGGCTTTGTCAAGCCTGACCTTAAAAACCTCTAAGGAAGGAGATTCTACCACCTCCCTAGGTAACCCATTCCAGTGTTTCACCACCCTCTTAGTGAAAAAGTTTTTCCTAATATCCAATCTAAACCTCCCCCACTGCAACTTGAGACCATTACTCCTCGTTCTGTCATCTGCTACCATTGAGAACAGTCTAGAGCCATCCTCTTTGGAACCCCCTTTCAGGTAGTTGAAGGAGCTCAAAGCAAAGTACAAAATATTGGCATCTTCATTTTACAGATGACATTAAGCAGTTTGCCACAGGCCACTCTGCGAGTCAGTGGCATAGTCAAGAATACCCAGCTCTCCTGACTCACAGTCCTGCACTCTAACCACTTGGGAATACTTTCCCTTTATCTAGTTGCCTCGTCCTACATCCCTTTGAAGTCGGTGGGAATCAGAGGCAGATGACAAGTGCAGAGTCAATAATTAGGATCCATTTTCTGGGCTGCACTCTGTCATGAAGTTGGTCCTGCCTAGCTGAGACGCAGGCTTTATGGGAGGGTGTCCTACCATAAATAGTGGAGCCAAATGGAAGGCTTGCAAGAGGTTTTTGTTATAGGAGTGGGTCACAAATATGCGCTAGTAGGATGTCAGAGGAAAGTTTTTGAAAGGGGACAGATAGACATGAACAGGGCTGGAGTGCAATAACCACTGCTACTCACACATCACAGATTCTGAGCATCAAGCCCAATTTCTAGGGTCATAAAGGTTTGTTTCAGCACTGACATACTTTGTAATGATTCACAAGTCAGCGCTCATGCAGACAGGGCTGTGCTTGAGGGAGTTCTCGTATAACCAGTGCCCTACAGAGCACTGGAGTATCTTCAACACAAGCCAACACACTGTACCTACTCTTTTCTGGAGTGCCATATTGGTCTAGATGCTCCTCTCGACTGTCAACGAAGTTCTTCATAATGATATTCATTTGATTATCATTACCAATGACAGTATTCTTGAGTGTGGACTCGGTGACATCAATTTCCTGACCACCCTGGGTGGTTGTTTTAGCTTCTACTTCACAGGGCAACATATCAGCATTCTCTGATGCAGCCCTAAGACTTGGAACAGTTGGTCTAGAATCTAAAGTATAAGTGTAAAGGGAAGGAATAATAACTATATTAATAAAATAAAATAATAATAATAGTGAAATTTTGTATGGGAGAGTGCCAAAATGATTCGTTTTGACAATCTCATTTTGATAAGGTCTATATTAGGTGTATATTGCAATAGTAATTTTATATATTATATATTTTATATATTATAATTTATATATTATATATTTAATACATTTATGCTATAGTTTCAGTTATTGACATGAAACGATTTGGTGTCTCCTAACAGAAATTTTTCAGAATTTCCATTCTGCAGTAACTTAACTTTTAATTCGGTCTGGCACAAAAGCAAATTTCAAAATGTTGGCATATCCCACAGGACAGAAAATCCATTTTCCAACCAGCTCTGGTAAAATACAAAATCTTTTTTATGTTATTAATTATGATGGCTGTTGTTCATGTCTGTTCTCAGAGAGGATAACCAGTATAGCACCCATAAACCTGTGCAGAGAGATGATTACCATCTTTTTTATCCACTAGATTCAGTGAGTTGTAGTTTCCAATTTGAGTAGCTCTGGAATCAGCTATAGAGATGGTGTTTTGCACTCCTCCCTGATAGATAATGTTTGTTGGATTATGCTGAATAATAACTGGCACTGCTTCCTTATTTGCTCCAGGATTTGTTGCTTTGTAACCTGGAAAAGAACAAAACACACATTAGTCTCCAGTACAAAAGACAAAACAATTTTCCTGGGAGAAAAGCAATTCTTGTGACAAAAGTGATCCCCTCTCTAGGCTTCAAAGCCCAAGCTACAAAGTCTGCACAGCTATTGTTAGCCTTGTAATGCGAGTCCCACGAGCCTGAGTCTGTAAATCTCGGCTCTGAGACACTCCATGGTGGGCTGCTGGCTCACTGGGTAGACGAACTCTAGCAGAATCCTAGGACCCGGGTCCTGTGTGCTTGCTGACCCAAGACAGACTAATTTGTGTGTGGACTGAAGTGGGGCTTGGGCTCAAACCTGAGTCAGAGCCCAGACTTAGTGTGCAGTGTAGACACACCTAAAGGAGCCTGTTATGTTGCTAATTCTGTGTATTTAGAGGGAGTGAGGGCTGTTTAGGTATCCTGATTTCCTAGTGACCCTGACTGGTAGCAGATCTCTCTGTTGTCTCATTATCTCAGAATGGAGGGTTGTGGGCAGGAAGACATTGGGAGGAGCTACAGAAGTAAGGGAGCCTGATGTTACACATAACTTCTGTGTCTGTATGTCTAATGGTGCCAGTGGTGAGGGCTGATCTCAGTCAGCCAGCAGTACCCAAAAACGATGTACAATGAACAACGGCAACAGTGTATATCCCAGGGCAGGATTTGAAACGAATGATAGAAATGGGACTGATCAAGCAAGGCCATAGAAGTAGTGAGATGAAATGATTTTAGTAAGAGATCGATAGACAACATCTCTTTTTTTTTCCTAATATATGTCAGCATAGGCGTAATGATAACTTGTGGCTACACAGTGCGAATCATTTCAGGAACTCAGAGCCCTTTACAAGGTGGACAAGTGCTCTCCGCATTTTACGGATGGGGAAATAGAAGCACAAGGGAGTTAAATGAACTCCCATCGCCCTAGGAGGGCACACAGTGAGTTGGGCATTGTCTGGCTGACTCAAGACCCAAGTCTCCCAGCCCCATGCTCTGAGCCGTTTACCAGAACTTCTGATTAAAGATCAATCAAACTGTGAGCATTGGTGCTGATAGGCACATCGAAGTAAAGCCCACATTCTCAAAGCCAAAGAGACGTGGCCCGGGGAAGGACCATTTAGTTGTCTAACTGAAAGTGTTTACAGCCATAAAGAAAACAAAGCTGCTTTTTGTAACACTACTCAGAATGCGGTGTTCTGAAAAGTGCATCTCAGTACAATACCTGTGCCCTGTCCGTAAACTGACCAAAGCTTTGTGTCTTCCTCCTGGCTGAGGACATGTTTTTTCTGCAGCGCGTATAAATCTGCATTGACTTCCTTTTGTGTCTTCTTTCCCATATGTTTGGCAATGGCTAATGCACGGCAAGATCCATTTTCTGACAGAAACTGGTAAATCTTTTTCTCTGGGAAACAAAGGGTGGGCTTATTGATTCACTGCCAGAAATGGAGGATAACGCAGTGAAGTTTGTATCTTGCTCCCTGGGACCACTGGGCTGATAATTTGTGGCCCCAAGGCCACACATGGTCTACCAAATTCCCCTTTGAATCTTACCAAGTTATCAGCCCACATGACTTCACTGGGATTGCCAGTAATGAGCTCTGTGCTATCCAGCTCAGGCCCACCATTACACCGGCTGCAAAGGGAATGGGGAGTAGGTGGAGCCATAGTTCTACCAACTACCAGAGCTGGTGGGCTGCATAGAGTAGATAGAGCAGTATCCTGTGCCACTTACAGGGGTGTAGCAGTTCATGTGCTCCCCTGTGGGAGCTAAGGTGCCTGGGGTGGGGATCTACCTCCCTGAGACAGAGGGTTTCTGGAGGTGCACCTGGGATGATGAGGCTTTATCATGGCCTGCGGGCTACTAGCACAAGGTATTCCTAGCAGGAATACGATTTATGACTCCTAGACCCATGCTAGACTTCTACACATACAATAGTGCAATGCTAGCATTAATAGCATTCTATTGTGGCTGCCAAAAATCATTAAATGTAGATTTCTAAAGTTAGTCTATTCAGTCTTAGGCACGTGGCAAATATCTTACGATTTTCTGACAGTCTGCGGTCATCTTTCACAGGAGTCACAGTGTTCACAGCCTGGTGCAATGGGACTAGGGCAGTGTCATCTACAACAAAGAACATTGTTAGGCACTGTAATTTGGGGGGCGGGGGGTTTGTGAAAAGTTCTGCTATTTAGCTAGGAAGAGAGACTGATTCCCCATTTTCCTTTCTTGTCCCCATCCCCTAAAGCAGGCTCCCAGGGGAGCAGGCATCTTTGCTGCATACCCTCGGTTCTGATCTTTGCCCACCTCCAGAAAATGTGGGGCTTTAGTAGAGCTAGGATATTGGCAGACGGTTGGTCTGCTGCATGGCTTGAGTTGATCAGGGAGGGGGAAGGGCACTTCTCTGCCTTTATGTGGAGTTTGTCCTCTCTCTAGTTATCTTAAAACTATCCCAGCCAAAGATCCCTGGCTAATGAAGGGCCCCATGGTCCCCATGAAGGGGAAAGGACACTGGATCGAAGCCCATAGGGGGTTCATGCAGAGCTTTTCATTGTGAGGTTCAGGGAACGATTGACACTCCTGTGGAAGAAGTTGGGGATCCCGTGAGATCCACAGGATCATTCTTCTGCAGACGCTGTACTTACAGGGCCTATGCCTTCCAGATGCCTCCTGGAGGGATGAAGGTCTCCAGTGCAAAGGGTATGGCAGTGCCAGATTCCCCTGCCTGGGAACCTGGTTCCTCATCACAGCTTTATGAAGCTGGAGCCACGGAGAGGCTTTTACAGGATGGGTGGAGTATTCTGTAGAGGATTAAACTACCCCCCTTCCCTGGGTGCAGACCCCCCATGTCTGAGCAAAGAGAGGAGCCTGACACTCAAAAGAATGGCCCTACTGGGTCAGACCAAAGGTCCACCTTGCCCTGTATCCTGTCTTCCGACAGTGGCCAGTCCAGGTGACCCAGAGGGAATGAACAGAACAGGTAATCACCAAGTGATTCATCCCGTCACTCATTCCCAGCTTCTGGCAAAAGATATTTCCAAGATATTTCTGAAGAGCCAACCTTTGTCTGCTTTTGGGATGCACCAAGATTGCAGGTATTACAAAAGAAATGTCCTAGGGCAGGGTACCCTCAGAGAACACTACATGGGGTTAATCTACCACCCTGGACAAGGTTCAGTGCAAAAACTGCCTAGGAATGAATGCACCTTCTGCTTTAGTCAAGTTTCAGTTCTCTACAAAAGAAAAAAAAACAGAGTCGATTGACTTGCAACTCACTGTACTAAATAAAAATGGACTCAGAGTAATTGGGGTCAAAGCCTTGAGAGTCTCTGATGCAGTTAGGCTGCAGTGTAGTTACAGACTTGAGAACAAACTCAGCTCCCAAATGCCCTCAGCATCGGAGGTTGCGGACAGAGTTTTAAAAGGTTTTTCAAAACATTTACCGCTTTTCAACTGGGCGGTTTTCTGATGACATCCCACCTCTGTGTCATCTGTCCAGACAACCCATTTGTTATCGACACTCTGCTTCTCAACCTTTCCCTCCTTACGCAGCTTGTACAGCACTTTGTTGGCTTCCTGTTTTTTAAGCGAACATGCGCAGGCAATCTCAGAGGCCTTCTTTGGAGTGGCAGCTGTCCTTAAGTGGTCCCAGATGAGTTGTTCCATTTGTGAAGCTAAATGTAAACAATAAAAGCCATCTACAGACAATTCTAAGCAATTCAGACAATAACTCCCCCCCCCTCCCTTTTTTCTTTTGGCAACCAGACTTTACTCACTTGCCTCTGATCTTCAGTCTGAATTTTTTGTTTGTTAACTGTGGATATAATAGTCACACAATAATGATCACAGAAGCCAAATGGGGAGCTGTGACCAGACACAAGCAGTGGAGGCATGGAATGAATTGAAATGACGGGCTGGCGTGGCTTTGCACTGCAGTTGTCCGTCATATAAATAGGTGCAGTTACATATTTAGGCTTTAATGAATATGTATTTACTCACCCAAAATGACAACCTCAGAGCAGTCACGGTCATTGGCTTAAGGACTTATTTTAAAAAGTGATACCCACATTATTTTCCCATACTGGACTGATTTGTCCTCTTTAGATGCCACTTCACAAGCCTAGCACCACCGATTATGTCTGGAAGGGATGTGAGGGTCTAGCTTCTGGAGGCCACAAATTGACAATTTAAAAGAGATGCCATTTGGAAAAATGCGGCCATATCCAGGGTGAAGTCAGAGGCACTGGTCCTGCATCTGTCTAAGCATTAGCTTCCCCTCCTCACAAACACAAAAAGAGCCTCCTGTCTCTGAGGCATAACTAAAATTCCCAGTAGCTACCCCTTCCTTCAGGTCATGTGGTTTAATGAGTGGTAAGTTAGTACCCCATCTCGAAAGAGGCAAGGTACCTCTCTGCATCTCTGGGTATTCTTGTAAGAGTCAGCAGTCCCTTCTATGACTGCTTCATGCAGAGTAAGAACTGAAGAGATGTTAGGTTGCAAGGACTAAATTAGCCTGTGAGCTAGAGAAACAGAAATTACCCTCTTGTATTCATCACCACTGTGTCTTGTCCTTTCCCTACCACGAGGGATGCTACACATTCACTGCTGCCAGCACTCAGACAAAAAGCAGTCAGCAGGGTGGTGCAAGGTCTCCTGCTTGCTAAGAGACTGATCTTGCACCACTGAAGTCAGGGGGGTTTTGTCACTGCTTTCAGTGGCCTTTGGCTCAGGGCCTCTTCTGGGTGCAGTGTGAGGTCCAATATAAGGATCTCAATCCCAAGGATCCTGGTTGCGTCCAAATGCTGCATGTTTTACTCATGGCCTTCTATCTCCATAGAAGAGATTCTATGTCATGAGAGATTTTTTATTTCTTTTCCTGAAGACCAGGAAAGAAGGGGAGTAGAGCAGAGAGGAGCACTGAAACTGACAAAGAGCAGAAAAAGCATCTCTGACTGGAAATACATTGGCACATCTAACAAAAACCACTTTTATTTCCCCCAAAATGCTACAGCTGTGAAACATGGTTTGCCCTTGCAAACAAACTAATTCAATCAGGAAATAGGAAATCCAAGGCAAGAGAGCTTAACTGTCATTTTACAAAAACCATTAAATGCATGAAATGTATCCTAATGATATTATTAAAGAGAAATTCCAATAATCCATTAGCAGCAGCGTTAATTATTGTAAGCACATTACAATCAATATCATTAAAACAAGGAAATCATTTGCTATGCAGACTTTAAAAAAATAAAATAAACACAGATTATTTGCTCCTCCAGAGAAACTCCAAGAAGCTACTTTTGAATGCAACTTTGATTACATTTGTTTATTGAAGCTGATAGTAAGAGAGGCTGCAGACACTGCTCAAAAGTGACAGCATCATTGTAAAAAATTCAAAGGCTGAGTGAAGCAGTCCTGTGCCATTGCTATATATTCATGAATGTGTTTAGGAAGCTGCAAATAGTCAGCTCTGACTAATACTTTACCACTAAACTGACAATGGGCTGTTGACATGCATATATGACAGCAGAGTTCCAGCACTGAAATTAAATAGTTATGAATGAAAAAACCTGAGCTGGGTACACCAGACACTGCCTGCCTGGTATTTTTGTAAATATACCATATAGTATCGATGGGCTAGCAAATGAGTAAAGCTTTTCTGACTCCTGCTCTTTGAGGGTCTGATCCCACTCCCATAAAAGTCTATGGAAATACGTGTATTGACTTCAGTAGAGGATGATTCAAGACCTGAAGTTATGGCCTGGAAAGGACCTCATCTCCCATTGATTTCAGCACCACTTAAGATTGGACCCTAGAGAATGGGCTTTCAACCACAGAGAAACTACCCTGAACAAGTTGTCCCAAACTGTCTTCCTAATGCAGGCCAAATCCTATGTTCTGATATTCACACATGAAACTCACATGGATATCTGAAGGCAAAATTTGACCCTCAAGTGAAAGATGTGACACAGCAAAATGTCTAGACCGAGGAATGATACCCTTTCCACTGGATTTCACATCTCCAGCTGCTTTTATTTTCTGAATTTCAGTGCCATTCACAGCACATTTTGTGAATTTTCTCAGCCATATTGTAAAGTTTTCACTGTATGTAAAGTTAAATTCAGCTAACGTTGGTGAGAATTGCCTCCTTAGATATGAGAAGCACTGCTTCCTAAGTTGCATTGCCAAGTGCCATTTGGTTTGGACTTCTCCCAAATCCTTTGACGAGCCAGACCTTTCAGGAAAGATGTTCTTTACCTGGGCCTGATCTGAAGCCCATTGAAATCAATAGATGTCAGCCCTGTATGAGCCAGTGCTGTATGCTTGTTTAGGCACATTTATGCATTTATTGTGTAATACAAAATTTGTACTAATAAAGATGAAGAATAGATAAGAGTGACTACAGCCAGGAGATACGGCCCACACAGTCCTGCCCATGTGTGTTGGGTGTGAGTTTCAGCAGCACTGGTGTTCCAGTCCTGGCTTCTGTTACCCAAGGTGGACCAGTTGTAGCTTTTTTTTGGGTCAATAAACTACAGTTAGGTCTGTTGAACTCCTGGGCTTTTGCACACCGCAACAACGAAGGTAATTTACCTTCAGATATCTGAAAAATACACCGGTGGCACAAGACTACTTTGTACTTGTAATAAATAATCCACATAAATGTGCTTAAAAATGACAAAAGATGATTAGGAAAGTTTACAATGGGTGTTGAAATCTGAATAATCGAGACCTAAGGTACTTACAGGGCTTTTTTTCACCCTATCAAGGCAATTGAGATCAGCTGAACATCCTGAGATCTGCTCTGAATCAGGGCAAGGACTCATTTGTAGAGCACCCTTCACGAGTAGGTAACCAGTTTGTGTTTTTCAAATTCTGACTCTTGTTTGTATGTGCTGCCACCTCTCAGATTGCTTTGCAGCGATGGTGCTTTATGAATTAAATAACTCAAAAAAACTCGAGAAAAAATGGTTCAGAAAGAAAGAGCAAGAACTTTGTTGGAGTTTCTTTTTCAAGTTGTGTTTCGTTTAGCTTTCGCAAAGGGAAGAACCATCCATGAGCTGTTAAAAGGGTCCTTGGATGTTGCTCAAAACATCTTTACATATTGGGATTGACACTGGAATTACTGAGTGATCTCAAAGATCTGAGGATATCATAAGTACCTACTCTGTGAGAAAGTCATCAATAAAGATCTCAGTAAGGGGACATCTATTTAGAGCCCTGAGCAAACTGTTATACAGCATAGGCTGCTTGTAGTGGTGTTTTAAATCCAAATTCAGCTCCACAGCACTTTTAAAAAATCCATCCCTGCCAAAAATCAGCTCCTGCAAATGCCCATGCAGCTACTCAATGACAACTGTGTGAGAACAAGCAAATGCATCGGTTGAGTGATTATGTGGATACCTGCTGAAAGAAGGGGATTTGCAATTATCCCTGGGTGATTTTCTACATGTACATGTCCCTGTATATCATAAAATCAATTAGAGACCGTCATTTGTTTCTGAACACATTGGTTGGAGAGAACTATTAGTTCAGAGACATTAATTTCTGGACAAATGTTTACAATTAAAATGTAATTTTGATTCTACTCAATTCCTGTATCACCACATTGTATCTCAGCCAATTCTGGAGAATAAATGAATGACTTTAGAAGATACAGTTCAGGCTGAAGCATGATGGGAAATGACTCCTAGATAGTTTGCTTTTATGAGGTTTTGCCACAACCAATAGGGACGACTGGGGGACGTGGATGAGATTAGTACTGCCAACCCGAACCTTTGTCCCTCTTGAGAGCCAAGCTTTAATGGAAACTTTTTCAGAGATTCAGAAATGTTTGGATTTGGGAAAAGGACCAGGGAAAACGTCACAGGGAAGCTACTTCTCAGGTCATTCCCAACTCTCAAGCAATAAAGGTTCAGATAACTCAAATAAACCTTTCAGAAGGATGTGAACTACTGGGAGCTTATACAGATGGCAGGCAAATGCTAACCCTTCTCCATGCTAAGGTTTTAGACAAAAAATGAAAATGAAAGCACGTACATTTTCTCTTTTATCTCCCGTCCCCGCCACCTTCTCCAAAAAGGTATACAAAGTCAAAGAAGTTTCTCAGTTTACCCTGTAACCAAGATCAGAACGTGACACAGTCACTGGCTTGATTGATAAGCATTACCATGGGAAATTCTAGTCTAATGGACAATCCAAAGGGGGGTGAGGAAAGCCACAAAAAGGTCTTGCAACCAACAGGAGGCTGTAATAGAGGGGCCACTCCTGCAAAGGCTCATGTGGTATGCAGTCCTTGGGAAGTCAATGGGGATTCCCACACAAGCAAAGGGTTTACAGGATTCAGCCTGAATCTAGAGAGGGAAGAGAAGAGAAGAGAAGAGAAGAGAAGAGAAGAGAAGAGAAGAGAAGAGAAGAGAAGAGGGTAAACACACATTCTGTGATTGGAAAGATGGTCAACCTTTCCGCTAAGATGGAAAGAAAGGGGAAAAAGAGGACTGAATTTTCCTTACCTTGCTGCAAAGAAGACCCCATCTACATCAGTCTTATAACCATGTAATGTGGTTCAAGTCCAGTTTGGAAGTGGAGAAAGCTGGCGTCTGATTCTGAAAGGTGCTGAGCCCTAGAGAGCTCCTCTACTCCCATTCTGGTAAGTGGGAGCTCAGTGTACCCAGGACTGGGCCCCAGAATAGAACAGTGCCACACGTTTAGAAGGTTCGCTATTGTTACGTTGACAGCGCATTAATAATTAGAGGCAAGCTCCCTCTCTCACCTCTTATCTGGTCAGGGCAAGTCCAGCCTGGCACAACAAGTTGATCTAGTCCATGTATGAATGTGAAATGCAGAGCAGTAAAACAGCCTGGGAAAGCTGGCGCTCTCGCTGTTGCCAGCTGTGGGGGCTCTCATCAAACCAATCGTTTTTTGTGGCCATTTAATTGTTTTCTTTAATTATTATGTTGTCTATAAAGATTTAGTAGCTTGGCCTCCAAAGCTAGCTCGCTGAACAAGTTTTCACCTAATTAAAACCTAACAGCAAAACCTAACACCCAAAGCCTCAGGCCATGCACAGCTGGTGGCTCGTAGACCGGGAGACCCTCTGCCTAAGGCCACGCTGCAGTACCATGGGCCACAGGTGTGGATTACACACAACTAACCGAGTGGGTGTGATTCTCATGGGCACAACGTCTTCCAGCTTGAAAACAGCTAATGGACCCAGATGATGAAACTGCCAGATCTGACTCCTTTTTAACCCTTCAGTCCCTTCCTGTCAGACGTCTTCATGATAACTCGGAGTAGGCAAACTTTTTGGCCCAAGGGCCGCATATGGATAGGGAAATGATATGCAGGGCCATGAATGTAGGGTTGGGGCCGGGGGTTGGGGTGCGGGAGGGAGCGCGGGGTGTGGGAGGGGGTGCACTGTGCAGGAAGGGGCTCAGGGCAGGGCCCTGGGGTGTGGGATGCAGGAGGGGTTTGGGGTGCAGGCTCCGGTCTGGTGCCGCTTACCTGGAGCGGCTCTGGGGTGGCAGCAGAGCGCAGTGGGGCTATGGCTGGCTCCCTGCCTGCCCTGGCCCTGCGCCGCTCCCGGAAGCAGCCAGCACCATGTCCCTGCAGCTCCTGTGGGAGGGAGGGCAGAGGACTCCGCTCGCTGCCCTCGTCTGTGGGTACCTCCCCCGAAGCTCCCATTGGTCACGGTTCCCCATTCCCAGCCAATGGGAGCTGCGGGGAGCGGTGCCTGCAGGCGAGGGCAGTGCACAGAGCCCTCTGCCCGCCTCTTCCCCCAGGAGCCACAGGGACATGGTGCTGGCCTCTTCTGGGAGCAGCTCGGGGCCAGGGAGCCTGCCTTAGCCCTGCTCCACCACGGGGCTGGCAATCCCCTGGGCTGGATACAAAGCCTTGATGGGCCGGATTCGGTCCGCAGGCTGTAGTTTGCCCACCCCTGTGATAACTGCTTGATAGCTTGATCCTCCCACCTGCCAGCTTTGGGGTTGGTGGGGGTCAGTAGGAAAACCCATTTCCCCCCCAGTTCTCATGGCTAGGGCTAGTCAATAATATCCCATCAAAGCTTGTTTTCCTATGGAAAGCGGGGGGTTGGCTGAAAGTTTCTGCTATCATTGGTAATATTAATTTTTACAAAAACTTTTGCCTGTAAAACAGGACATTTTCTGCTTTCATTTTTTTTGGGGGGAGGTGGGTGGGTTCAGGGTGGGATTGGACAGTTTTGGGCTGAAAACAGAGTTTTCAGTTGCTGAAAACCAAGAAGGTTTTGACTTTCAAAATTTTCTGCTGAAAATAATCTTGTTTTTGTTAAAAATTTTCCACAGAAAGACATTCCATTTTCTGGCCAGCTCTATTCATGGCATTCGCAAGTAAACAGGGACGTTTCCAATCACTCTTCCAAGACAGACGAATGATGACAAAGACACAACCCATAATTTAGATTTTGAAGCCCCCTTTCCCTACCTTCCCATTGCTGGGACACCTAACAATACTTGTATCACACCGGTTACACTTGTGTGCTCAACATCAGCAGTAATAGAAAGAGCAAGGAGTATAAATGAGCAGCTAGAAAAGTCAGGCAATTGTTCACTAAAAACTCAGAATGTCTTTAAAAGCAAATCTTACCTGCACTAGATGGTGCATTTGCCATTTATCCGAGTCCCAAAGCAGATTGAGAGTCAGTTACAGAACTTTCCAGAAAACGACTGACTCCAGTGTATGAGCATGTATCAGCAAGCACCAAATATCCAGTCAGAACAAAAAGAAAAGCGTAACTTGGGGCTGGGTTTCTGACGAAGGGCTAATAACTATGTGGTGAAGCTGGAAGTGGAAAGTGAAACTTACATATCTCATAAACTGAAACCGAGAAGGCTGACAAGATAAAGTCCACTGTACAAATGTTTGTCTTGGGAATAAAGTATTACACTTGACTCAGACAGTTCCTGGCAATTTTAATTTGCAGCAGATATAATATACATCATAAAGCAAGAGTAGGGAACTTCCTGATAGAAGCAGTGAGGATATTAATAGAAAATCGGGAGGGATGAATAGGTATTCCACTCCCCACAGCTTACCTTTATGTGTTCCTTTCTCTTACATAAGTGTCCTTCGCTCAGTGTCATCCACTTAGGCACATCTCAGACTTGCTGATCTGGAAGATCCTTCTTTGAAATCTCTTTGAGCTTCAGGGAGCAGAGTCACATGGATCTACATCCTCATACTTTCATAAAGGACAACATGCTGTGTACTCTGCTGCATTAGGATCCATTGTGTATGAGCCACTTTGTGTTTCTTTTAGCAGAGATCATTATTCTTTTTTAAATAAAAGTTTCTCTTCCACCTGAAAGTTCTTGGTCATGTCAAAATTCTGAACAACAAGGCCCAGCTATTTATACGCTGTATGCATGCCACTGTGTGCATTCAAGAACAGCAACTGGGTGCACAGTTTCACTAGTTATTTATGCAAATAGTTGATACGGGGCTTTCACATGCACAGTTACTGCAGCTGTGGTAACTACAACTGCAAATAATGCATGCAAAACTCTGGGCCTGGGAGAGTTACGAATAAGGAATAAGCTCTGCTGAACTCAATGTTGCCAACTCTCCATTTGCAATGGGAAATCTTGCAATATTTCATGTTTTTTTTCTTAAAGCACCAGCTTCCAAAGTCAAGCGATTACAGGAAAATCTTAGCTTTCATTACAACAACAACAAAAAAAAGATGCAAGTTTCTAACCCTCATGGTCACAGAAGAAAAACTTGAAAAGACTCCAAGACAGGAAGGCAAATAAAAATAACTCCACACTGATTATTTTTAAAGCGTCCTGATATTTTTTAAGCTAGTCTCATGATTTTGCAGGGCCTGACTCCTGATGTTTGAACGTTTGGGTTCGGTTACGCTGTGAATCCTAGAGCTAAGTCATCCTGTCACACACTGCGAGATGATCAGTTGTGGGTGGAGCAAAGAGTAAGTAACATGGTTCAAAGGATGCTGCAAACCTGTAAATGGAAAACGAAACTTACATGTTTCTCTGAAAACAAAACTAACGAAAAACACTGGCTGTCATGGAGGTCTTAACTACGAAAAATCAGACAAGGGAAACAAGGAGCTGCATGTCCTTATTTTTGAATATTTTTGTGTATTTAAACATTTTTAATTCAATTCATTTTCTTTGCTCCATGTTTATCATGGCTTCATGTTAACATGTAATCTTTGGGTGGGCTAGTGTTTACTTCATTGCCTTTCTCCAGTGCCTAAAAAAACGCAACACCCATAGCAAAGCACCTGGAGACCCAGAGTTATGGCACTGAGGATTTTCAGCAAGAATTACACAGAGTCAACCTGCCCATAATCAAGTCCAAAAGAATAAAAGGAATTAACTTAATTCTTAAATGCCAACTTTATAAAATCTTATGAAAGAAAATTAAATAGTAATAATAACTTCATTTTTATAACATAACATGACTGTTGTGTAAGCCACACAAATGATCTTTACAGTTACACATGAACATAAATAAAGAAAACAAATTGAATCTAAACAGGTCAGTCCCTACAGAAACACAGTGAGAAGAAACTCCCAAAAGGTTAGGCTGAGTTCACCTGAGTCTCAGAGTCTTTGGTCACTCATGGAGTCTGAGTCCAGCAACAGGGAACCTACTGAGCATACCCAAAACTACCACACCCAATTCCAGAAACTTCTGTGTGTGGAGAGGTAATTGTGCATCTACCTAGTAACAATGACCCAGACATAATTCATTCCTACCAGGGCCGGCTCTAGGTTTTTTGCTGCCCCGAAGCTGGTCCCTAGAGCTGGCCCTGATTCCCCTACCCATCCACCATTTCTTAAAGATATATCTCCCCATGAGGCACGTGGGTTACAAACGCACACGGTGAAAATCTGTCTAAGGTGACTGGTTTCAGAGTAGCATCCGTGTTAGTCTGTATTTGCAAAAAGAAAAGGAGGACTTGTGGCACCTTAGAGACTAACACATTTATTTGAGCATAAGCTTTTGTGAGCTACAGCTCACTTCATCAGATGCATCTCTCTCACTTCATCGGATGCATTCACTGAATGCATCCGATGAAGTGAGCTGTAGCTCACGAAAGCTTATGCTCAAATAAACTTGTTAGTCTCTAAGGTGCCACAAGTCCTCCTTTTCTTTCTAAGGTGACTGTAAGTCACAAGGACTGATGGTGATTCACTGTTGCATCGCTCCAATGTTACACTGGCAGAACATCTTTGATTTCAGTGGCAGACTAGAACCTCTACATCCATTGATTAAATGCCATCGCTTTGAAATATTACAACAGGTTTCCCAATGAAACACAATGTCTCTGGGTTGCCTCCTGCAGAGTGTAACACACAAGTGGATACAATTAAGGACACATTGGCATTGTTCTCAGTTGTCCCTCCTTAAAGGGGACAACCCCCAGTTTAGCCCCAATTTTCCCCTTCTCCCCTATGCAGCTTTGAAGTTCTAGCTTTTATCATTGTAGACCATCTGCCGAGGGGATGTTAGCTCGTGAAGCAGACTCTAGCTGTTGGATGAGATTTTCCAAGCTGCCAAAGAGACTTTGATGCCTAATTCCTATTTGTTTTAATGGGAAACGAGCATCAAAACCCCTTAGGTAGCTTTGAAAACTCCCACTCGCTGCTCTTGATGTTAAAATAATTAGCACCATGTTCTATATAGGTCCTTATAATGTGCTCATTGCTGAAGTATTTGATCACCTTCTGGCAGTGCATTAGCATTGTGACTAACATGTTTTTGTTTACACACACACACACACACACCTGTATGTTTACATTACAGAAGTCCAGGTCAAAGAAATGCACCATGCACTTGACCTGGAAGTTTAGGGTTAATTCATATCATTTAAAGTGTCCTGCACCCGTTTTTCCCTTGTGGTCCTAATCTGGAGCCATTGGCTTCCGGATTCCTCCCATATTTGGGTCTCAGGAATGCTAGCTGCCTGAAACAGCTGTAGTTTCAATGGAGCTATAAGAGCCCTCCTTTTCCTCTTCAGACCTCTCTTTATAGCCTTCCGACATTGACAGGTCTGTACTAGCAACAGAGTGGCAGGGGATGCTGTGCCTGAACTGACCGACAGCAGGTGAGGTGCCAAGGAACCCAGACCAAAAAGAGAGGGATGCTGGGGAAAGGCAGTGACCAGAGATGGAGGGAGAGAGATGGGAACCCTTTCAGCCACACGTTGGTACCTCAGTTTCCGAGTAAACTAGTGAGAGGTGTTTTAGCTGATCAGTGGTGTCAGCTCTCAGGCTTTGCTTGCAATTCTCATGATATTTGGTGTTTTTCTTAAAGCCTCAGCTGCTGAAGTCAAGAGAATCTCAGCTTTCATTTAAAAAAGACAGGACATTTCCAGCCCTCGTGGTTGCAGAGAAAAGCTGGGGAACATGAAGCAGGTGCACTGTAAAGGTTCAGAAACCAAAAAGCAAATAAAAAGCAGGCCCAAATGATTTATATAAAAAAATCATTATTTTTCTGTCAATTTCATGATTTTTGTGGGGCCTAACTCATGATGTTTGACCTCTTGGGACTGGCAATACTGGTCAGCTGAAGCGTTTCTTTACTCCGGGCACCATGTAAAGCAGGAAGGGACTCCTCGGTCAGTCAGTCAGTCTTTCCTGCCGAACTCCCGGCTGACCTCACTTTTCCTTCCCTCAGAGAGGTCTGATACTCTTGGTTCCATAGACCCCAAAACAGCACCACGCCTGGAGCTTTGGGCCATATCGCACCCTCCACCAAGAGAACAAGACACGTGGAATAGGAAACTATGTCAGGATTCCCCCTGGAGACTCATTTTGCCACATCCCTCACATTAAGTGGCAGGGCTCACTCTCAGACATTACAAATACCATCATGGAGGGGACAGCACAAGTCCAGGTAGGAGGGAATTAAGGGAGAGCAGTACAAAAGGTGATTTACGTTTGCCATCTATACAGTAACTCCAGTGAGCCTGCACTGGTAAAAAGGAAGAGGGATAAGAGGAGTGCAAAGCCAGTTCTACCCACACATTTGATTTCTTTAGAGCGGTTTGTTTTGGTACCTTTACACGTAGTTCTCCTCCTGCTTATTAGCAATGCACACCACCACTAAAGCTGCCCACCCCTGCCCTTCAGCACTCTGAATCAAATCCAGTTCATCAGAGCCAAGCTTACCTAATTGTTCAACATCCAGGTTCTCTGCATTTGCAAGGGACAAATACTCCGAGGAGGCACTTTTTGACTGGCCTTCAAAATCCATCGTTAGATGCTGCGATTGTGATTTATGGCTTCTGCTAGCAATCAATCTCAAGCCAACTTGTGTATTCGAACGAGGAGCTTGAACTACAGAGGAAAAAAAATATGAATAGCCATTGAGAGCTGACAAATAATTAATCCTGGCTGATAGTTAATGCTCCACCAGATTTCTGCTTTTCAGAATCCGCTCTGACCACAGCAGGTTGAATGTTTAAAGCTACTTCGCCTTCCCACACTGTGGTGCCATTGGTTTATTTAGTTAGGGTTGTAAATGTCATTAGTGCATCTTTTAATCTTCTCTGACAATATACTTTCAACAGGCTGAGATGTGGAAAAACCCTAGCAACTTGTCAGTCCATTTTCCCTGTTCTTCATCGTGACTGAGCCAGATGAAGCCCTGAGTCAGGCACTGTGCAGTCTCTGCCTGCAGTGATCATAGCCTTTGTGGTGACCCACAAAGAGGTCTCACCCCCTAATTAGGATGGGAGGGAGCATCTCACTGCCAGGACGTGGTGCTGGTTATTCAGTGGGGCGCACCCTTCTTTCTGAGCCAGTTCTGAACTAAAGCACCAGCATGTTGCTACAGGGCACTGACTGAGTTCTGACCATGTGGGGTCATTAAAGATCTTGAAACCACCAAAGGCATCTTGACCCTCTAAGAATTTTTGCCAGTTTTTTCCCCAGCCCTAACCACGGGGACACAATGCAATGCACAATGGCAGTGCTCCCTGAAACCTACACAAAGCATTTCCTTCATAAGGCACCGAACCTCCCAGTTCTTCAAAAGAAATGACTGATGTCACAGTTTAGGGCAGGTGCACCTGTATCCTACTTGGTGGTCCAGCAAAGGTGCCGACTTTAGGATCCAGACTCTGCAGCTGTCACCACTCTTGGGTGAAGACCAGCATCTCTCTCCCTCCTGATCAGAGTATTTCCAGGCTACATAGTTTACAGATTATGCTGTGAAATCCCCAGCAAAAAACAGGCCTGCTTTGGATTGCTTTGCTTCTTTCCTCAGAGACGATATATAGTGTAATTGCCGCAGTTTGGTTTCCACACAGTTTTGTCTCAGCAAGAAAAGTAAAGCATTACAGAGAAAACACATTAACAACAATAAAAGAACCTACATGCACGCTAATAAGCTTACCAGAAATCAGCCCTCACTCCACAAGGGCTCTGGCTGTTGAACAGTACTTCAAACCCCAAGCACGGGTTTTCTGTGGCTACCAGTCCATCATCTTTTTGCTGACAGCAAGAACACATTTCAAGTGGCTATGTTTCTAGTGGGGGTCTTGCAGGGATTGGTTCTTTTATCAATGACCTGGAAGAAAACATAACATCATCAATGATAAAGTTTGCAGGTGATACAAAAATTGGGGGAGAGTAAGTAGTGAAGGGGACAGGTCACTGATAGAGAGTGATCTGGATCACTTGGTAAACTGGGCGCACGCATACAATATGGATGTAAAAGTACACATCTAGGAACAAAGGATGTAGGCCATACTTACAGGATGAGGGATGCTATCCTGAGAAGCGGTGATTCTGAAAGAGATTTGGGGGTTGTGATAGATAATTAGCTGAACATCAGCTCCCAGTGCGACACTGTGGCGAAAAGAACTAAGGCAATGAATGCTTGGATGCATAAACAGGAATCTCGAGTAGGAGCAGAAAAGGTATCTGACCCCTGGATTCGGCACTGGTACAACAACTACTGGACTACTGATTCCAGTTCTGGTGCCCACAATACAAGAAGGATATTGTTACACTGGAAAGGGCTCCAGAAAAAGCCACAAGAATGATTAAAGGATTAGAAAACATGCCTTAGAATGATAGACTCAATTAGCTCTATTTGTTTAGCTTAAGGGGTGACTTGATTACAATCTATAAGTATCTACACAGTGAACAAATATTTAATAACGGACTTTTTATCTTGCAGACAAAGGTATAACATGATCCAAGATCCAATGGCTGGAAGTTGAAGCTAGGCAAATTCAGGCTGGAAATAAGGCTTAAATTTTTGGCAACAAGGGTAATTAACTATTGGAACAATTGGATTCTCCATCTCTGACCACTTTTAAATCAAGATGGAAGGTTTTTCTAAAAGATCTTCTCTAGGAATAATTTTGGAGAAGTTCTATGGCCTGTGTTATACCAGAGGTCAGAGTAGATCACCATGTTCCCTTCTGGCTTTAGAATCTATGAGTCTTATTAGGCCTCTGTAGGTCAAAGTCCTGCCAGCCCTTTCCTACTGATTGGGGCCCCTCCTGAACCAGAGGCCCTATCCATTTGATGGATCAAAGAGAAAGCCCTGAGTCAGTTTTAACTCTGGCTATTTATCCAAAAGTCCTTTCTGTGTCTGTTGGTCCCTGACAAATCCATTTTGAACCAGTAGATGTGGTAGTAGCTCTCTGGAGGTGGTACAACCTGAGTCAATTTGTCTAACCACTCCCCCCCCAGCCCCTAGTTCCTGGGGGTCTGTGGTCCCCCTCCCCCATGAAAATACATACAATCCCTCAATAGTACCTAAACATTTTCATTTTTAGTATAATGGCCTCCTAAACTACTTAAACTTAATTCAGTAAGGTTTGTCCAGCATATGGTTATATCCATCAAAGCTTAATTCTAGACCAGGGATCTGCAATGTTTGGCACGCGGCCCACCAGAGTAAGCCCCCTGGCGGACCGGGCCTGTTTGTTTACCTGCTGCGTCTGCAGGTTTGGCCGATCACGGCTCCCACTGCCACGGTTAACTGCTCCAGGCCAATGAGGGCTGCAGGAAGCCGCTGCCAGCACATCCCTTGGCCTGCGCCGCTTCCCGCAGCCCCCATTGGCCTGCAGCAGTGAACCGCGGCCAGTGGGAGCCGTGATCGGCCAAACCTGCAGACATGGCAGGTAAACAAACCAGCCCGGCCCGCCAGGGGGCTTACCCTGGGGGGCCGTAGGCCAAATGTTGCTGATCCCTGTTCTAGATCATCAGGCTGGAAAAAAGAAAGCTTCAAAATCTGGGCCTTCTTGTCCAACTCTGCGTGGAACAAAATTGTCTCCCCCCCCTCCCAGTTTGGTTTTCATCCATCTATTCATTTTGTCATATTCCTAGACTGTCAGATCTCTGGACAGGGCCAGTTTGAATCTCAACTAGCTTGGAGGAGACCTACTTCTTGATTGGAGCCTCTACACATCACTGTGATGCAAATAATAGTGACCTTCATCTCGGTTCAATGGCAGTCACTGTGCTGCAGCACACAGCCAGTCAGATCTTCACAGTGACATTTGAAATGGGCCCCATCCACGGCCAAAGCCCAGACTGTGGTGTTTGGGCTGAAGATGGATCTCCATACCCATGGAGAAGTAGAATTTAGCATTAGGGAGGGCTGATATTTTTCAGTTGAAAAATTTTTTTTGATGCAAAATGCCGCGTCCCCCCCACCCTTGTCTCTGTCTAAGATCGCTATTTTTCAGTGAAAAATTAGAATATTTTTCAGCAGTTTTCAGGTTATGAAAATGGAATTTTTTTTTTTTTACTTTTTAGGATTAAAAAAGGCAAATTTCTGAGGAAAAAACCTGAAAATATGCCTCAATCTTTTAAAAAAAATTTATTTTCCATAAAAAGTTTTGGGGGAAATATATTTTTTTGTTTTTTTTTTTAGAAATTTTGCAAATACCATTTTTCAGCCAGCTCTAGCAGCTCCATCGGAGTATTTCCAATTCTATCCAGTAGAGGGCAGACGAGCCAGCGTGTTATACACCCTTATCCCCAGCCCGCCACAGTGGCTCTATGACCTTCACAGTTGGACTACTCTATTGCCGAATTACTGAGCCACTTAGGAAACATTTCCTATCTAACCTGCAGCTTTTTCTTTTTTGAGCTGCAACCCTTTGTTGCTCTCCAAACGCTCCTCCAGGTAGCCAGCCCTGGAAGCAGCCATCATTGTAAGCATACATTTGCTAGCTGTCTTGCACTAAGAGTCTCCAAGAGACCACCAGTATCCCTTATAGGAGGAAAAAATTAGTGGCAAATGTATTCATTGAATTCCTATCACATTCACAATAGTCACCAGAAAGGGTGTCTGCCTGAGAGTGTGTTATTCATCGAACCATAGGTTTCAAAGGGGCTGCAAAGATCATCTAGTTTAACTCCCTGCCAAGATGCAGGATTTGTTGTGTCTAAACTGTCTAAGACGGACGGCAATTCAGCCTCTTTTTGAAACCTTAGTGAAGGAGCTTCCACAACTTCCCTAGGCAGCCTGTTCCATTGTCCAACTGTTCTTCCAGTTAGGAAGTTTTTCCTGAGATTTAAACAAAATCTGCTTTGCTGCAGTTTGAACCCATTGCCTCTTGTCCTGCCCAAGGGAGAACATTTTTTCTTCCTCTTTATGGCAGCCTTTCAAGTATTTACAGAGAGCTATAATGCCCCCCACACACACCTTTTCCAAACTAAACGTACCCAGTTCCTTCAGCCTTTGCTCATATGGCTTGCATTCCATCCCTTTGATCATCTTTGTTACTCATCTCTGCAGCCTTTCCAGTTTCCCTACGTCCTTTCTATACTGCGGTGACCAAAATTGGACACAGTACTCCAGCTGAGGCCTAACCAGTACCAAGTAGAGTGGTACTATCACCTCACGTGACTTACATCCTATACTTCTGTTAATTCAACCCAAAATTGCATTTGCTTTTTTTGCAGCCGCATCGCATTGTTGACTCTTGCTGATGATGTGATCCATCACAACTCCCAGGTCCATCTCAGCAGTGCTGCTGCCAAGCCAGTTATCCACCCACTCTGTATTTATGCATTTGGTTTTTCTTCCCTAAGTATAGCACCTTACATTTGTATTTGTTGAATTTAATTTTGTTGTCTATAGCGGAGTTCTCCAGTTTATCAAGATCCCTTTGAATTTTAGTTCTATCTTCCAAAGTGTTTGAAACCCCTCCTAACTTTGTGTCATTTGCAAATTTGACCAGTATGCTCTCTATTCCGACATCCAGGTCATTAATAAAGATGTTAAACAACACCCGGCCCAGAACAGATCCCTGTGGAATTCACTTGAGACCTCTGAAAACTATTGCATCTGTCCACCAAAACTAGACAGCAAATCATATGCTATGTATTTTCATATCCTAAATAGAACAGATATTCTACTTCCTAATAGGAAGAGGCACTACATGGAACTGACAGCTCCTATTTATTCTAAACTGCTCTACAGTAATCACTTTGATTGGAGTCAGTTTTTGTTTAGGATCAGTTGGAGTAATTTCTTAGGGGATGACAAACTGAGCGATCTGGCCCAACCAAAAGTACACTAAAAAGAGCTGCAAGTCTGGGATTTATTTTTTTGTCCTGTACTCCAAAATCTTGCTACCATATGGCTTCTGAATCTAAGCACTAAACTACAGACATGTATCTGTGCTAAATTAGAAAACATAAATAAAAACATACCTTTTTTCAATTGATACTTATCGTTTGCATAGTGCTCTTCAGCTGCAAGGCAATTTTAGATGAACTAGATTAACAAGATAGGATATGCATGGGAGACAAGAACAAACAGTATTATTTCAATTTTACAGATGGGAAAACTGAGACAGAGAGGTTAAGTGACTTACCCGAAGGGAGAGAAGTCAAGGGCTGAGAGTAGAACTCAGTCTAGCGATCTAAATGGGCAGATGAGAGCCAGGAACTCCTAAGAGCCAGCTGGAATAAATGGGAGCTGCACCCAGCTGGGGAATCTGTCTGCGTGTCATTTTTTCCAGTTAAACACCATTGCTTTAAGAAAAGTTCGTTTCTGAGTATAAATTTGCATGTCACATGCAATAACCCCCCAGGACTATATTGTCCATTCACATGCAAATCAGGAGTGACTGCACTGCAATCCACATAGTTGCACTGCTGTAAGCAAGAGGAGAATCAGGCCCTCTTTTATGATAATTTTACTGTTCTTGGACAGTGTACATGTACCCATTTCAAAAACAGATTTGTATTATTGGCCAAGGCTGGGGTTTTCAAAAGCAGCTCAAGCTCCCAATTAATTTGGACACCTAACTCCCTTAGTTTCCTTTGGAAAAATTGCAGCCGAAGGTGCTAATTCCAGGTGGCACTTGTGTTTTGGGTTTCTGGCCCAGCCCCCATATCAAATGTCCTAGCTACTGTTCGTGGCATCTAAGAATATAAGAAACAGCAGATAAAATCAAGGCCAAGCGAATGCTATCATCCAAGTGTCTAGAGTCTTATCTTTGGACCTTTTCATGTCCTGCCAGGGTTTTGTTAGTTTGGCCATGATTAAAAAGAACTTTCCTTTGGATCCAAAACACTCCCTCCACTCTCTGTGCCACACACACTGAGAAAAAGAAAAGTAAAGAAACTTTGGATAAAACGGGCAGTCTTTCCCACTGCTCTCAGCAAAGAGTCCCTATGGATTCTCTTCAAAGAAACAATCCTCTAATGCATGTTACATTGTTAGCTGAGATCCCATTTCAGAAGAACCCTGCGGGTGACAAAACACATTTATACTATTGGAAGAAGGATGATGCTCAGTGTTTCGAGTGACGACCCTGATCTGTATCTGCA